CCTTCCCCCTCGCAATGAAGTTAGCACCGCAGCACGTTCATCGAATTCTTTCGAAGGTCATTTTTTTCAGATACACCACCACTTTGCCCAAATGAAGCCTGCCGTTTACCGTATCGTTGTGAAACCGTGCTCTCATTGCGAGCACTGTTTCCAGAACGAGCCGCGTATTTCAGCCGTTTCGATCTGGAATCGCATTATTCCATGGAGGCATTGAAGGATGAATCGATTACGGTATGCATTTTGTCAGGAGGTTGATTTTTTTCTTTGAGAGAAATCAGCAGGGCTCATCCCTAAGCCCATCCATGTTGTTTCGGATTTGGGGGCGGAGCCCGTTCGATGGGCGGAGATAGTGGAATGGAGTGAGCCCTTGGGTGGCATCCTTCCAGTGAACGTGCCCCATTTTGGAGCATTTTTGGCTGTGATTGTGGCAGTATAAAGCAGTTTCAGCCCATATCGATCCAAAGAAATGCTAAGCTACAGAAAATCGAATTAAAGGTAAGTAACTTTAATATTTGTTCGTCATCACTTTTACAGCATTTAAGTACCCTTGCCCTGTTGAAGGTTTGTTTCTGCGAAGACGAAGAAAACCAGTCACCTGTTGAATTTGAGAAAGGCGGTCCTCTAGGTGATCTGATTCGTGAAATCCGACGCGTCCTAAAGATAATGAACACCGATAAGGTAAGAGTAGTCAAGACGGTCTAGGAATGTAGCTTCGGATCTCCTGTCCACGATGAGCCGTTAAGGTTTATGGATATTTCCGACGTGATGCGGACGACGAAAAGCAGCTCGACATCAGCCCAAAGCTGATTCAAACACCGGTTGACAAAATCGGGATCACAAAGGTATAGTTCAGGTTGTCATAATTTATTCAGACTTCCAGAGAAGCTGGCATTACCAACTAATTACAGTCAGCTATCACCGCTGAGATCGATCACGTACGGCTGCGTTCAGATTTAGCAATGGCGTGCGCCGCAGCTCGAGCGCAATCAGTCGTGGGCAATGTCGCATCCGAACCCTTTACAATCCTGAATGGAGGTAGAATGCGTGGCGCATCCCTAAACCTCAATGTACAGCCGGATCCTGAATACTTCCTTATCGAATGAGGGTTTCACTTACCGAGTTCAGTCCGACCAGGTGACTCGATCAAGTCCAGAATTAGAGCCTGGAGATCCACACCCGACTTCTTGACGCGACATTCCCTAGCTTAGGCTGCGTACACACTTTTCGGCGTGCCCACCAGCGACTAATAGCGTCCACCCAGCGTTCCTATGATCCGGCATCGTCAGGACTTAGAAAGTGAGATGTCGGCTTGCGTTGCCAGCGCCTGCTTAGCGTCCACTATGCGACAGGCAGCCTCGGAGCGTAGGGAAGTATAAGGGTATGGTCTACGCGTCTGCTGCCGTCTCCAGCGTCCACAGGATCCAGCGCGGCTGTACCCAGCCACCATGCAGCACACTGGCTGGTAGAGAGTATGGCGCAATAGGAAGGTGAACAGGGGGGGAGGCAGCTGTCTGCTACCCTTCCATCGCGCCATACTCTGTACCAGCTGTCAGCTAGCCTACTGTCGCCCAGTCTACTCCCGGATCGCTGGTGAACGCTGGCAGACGCTAGATCGATACCTGTACTTTCCTAGTCGCTGGCGCTGCCAAAAGCTTGGAACGCTGGTGGAGGCTGCCGCAAAGTATGAACGCAGCCTCACTCGACTCAGCGTAGCTCTTTTAGCACATCGCGTCGAATAAATGGGACCAAGGTGCAAGTGATCTCCACGGAAGCCACTGCAGATCTGCACGGAGCACTTGCAGCGTCACTTTCGTCACGCCGCCGCTTCTCATATGTACTGGCCCGAAACTTTCTCCAGGAAATAGATGTGAAAATGTCCTGTCCTTCAATGGTGCCCCCTCAGATTGATATGAGGATGCGTTAAAGGAGGTGCTTCTCAATGCAATACTATATTTCAGGACACACTTATTCTTGTGGACATTACCGGTATTGTGAACAGCAAGCTAAGCGCTAAGAAAAGTAGTTCGATTCCAGGAGTTCCAAAGAAACAGTGATCTCTGAGATTTCTAAAAATATTACACAAAGAACGTTCATAATCAACAATTTTTCTAATTCTTTTTATTCAGTGTTTTGAAGAATAAAATTTTAGGTGTTTCATGTTTATGCCTGTCTTGTAAGGAAATTGAAGGCACACTCCACTAAAATCAGATGGGTGGAGACGCGCAACCAAAGCGCCATTTCATTGGTCTGTACTTCCATTTTTCAGTAGTGATTGGATTTATGAGACCAATGTGAGACGATTGGTCTGATGTCTCGTACATCCCACATCCCGGAAAGGGTGGGGGTATGGCTGCGTTCTTCATGTGAACATGACGTTGGATGCATCTTCCGGGGATACTCACATGTGAGGCAACTTTTACCTGCATTTCACTGGACAAATACGTTATTACAAGCGTTCCGAAACCGGAAAATTTTTTCAGATGACAGGGTACAGCATCGTGATGTGTGAAATGGTGGTGTCAGTACGACCCCCACTCTACCCAAAGGAGGGTCTCGGTACGAGCTCCTCCCCCTTACACCTGCCTACCACTTTCCTACAGGCGAAGGGGGGGGCGGACAAGGAGCAGATGAAAAAGGAAAAAACTCCGAAGTAGGCAAGGGCCTGTAACCTTCTTCGGGCTCACCAGTTCAGAAGATATGTGCTCTGTATAGATTATGTTACGCCCCCCTTTGTATTTACTTACAGATTTCGCGTGTCTCCTTGTGATATGCATAGCGTGTACACTTGTTGGCTAGGGGGCGGGACTTTCAATCTAGTGTCATTGATAGAGAATACCTTATCAGGCGGGCGACCTCCTCAGGCGCTTCCAGGGCGGTGCCTACATCCAGAAGTGTGAGGCCGCCAGGATTTCAAGGAGAAGTTGGGGAGAATGCGTCCGGTTTGCGAATACAAGAATAGCGTGAGGCGGCGCCTCTCAGCCTCAGGTACGCCAGGAGGGTGGCCCGACCAGGATTCAGAATACGAAATACGACCCCTTCCTCCGATCCCTTCCCCCTACTTCCAAACAGGAGTCTCTCAGCGTAATGGATGAAACAGGGAAGGATATGACCTCACCTTCCTCTGACGACCTAAATACGGCCCTCCCAGGCGCCCACTGTGAGACTCCAGCGCACGAAGTGTCCTGATCGGGGATCGTTTTTGGTCCGTGAAAAGATGGGTCGTATCTGGCTTTGGAGAAATTTTTCCGACTAGCGCCTCCTCCCTCTACTTCCAAGCCTTCCAGTACAACCCCCGGAACTCCATTTTTCAGCACGGCTCCCGAACTTCTCCTTCCACAAAAAGCTTCCATATATCCTCCAAAATTTTATCTTGCAGTACGGCCCTCCAAAGTAAACCCTCTTCCTCAGGGAGCCTCCAAATACCTTCCAACACGACCCCGAAATTATTATACTTCTCCCAGTACGATCCCCCCCTCCACCCGCACTTCCTTCCTCAGAAGGAACCCTGTTCCATTGCAACAACCACCACTTCTCTTACCATTAGAAACCATAAATCACCATCCGAAATCTTCTCAGCTCCCTATCACTTTTGCAAAAAATTATCAGTTTTCTCCAAAAAGAACGAACGGGGAGGAGGCAACAGCCGGAAGGTTTCTATCAAAGCTCATCTTCCCTACCGACCAGGGCACTACCGACACCACCACTCCAGACATTCCCTTGCTGTGTAAGGCCTGTCCCTTTCACCAGCCAGGGTTTGAAAAAGCAAAGCACTAGGTATGTGGTGAACAGGTGAGGTAAAAGTGAACTTATATCACTACAGAAATAGTTGCAATATGACTTCTTGAGAGGAAAAAGTCTGCGATGTCTCGCAATCAGTTGGCAATATCGAGTAAATATTTCAGACCCCAGGTTCCTTATCATTTGTGCGGATCACAAAGGAGTAAAGCATGTGTACATTCCTCAGGCGCCTTGTCGTGAATCTACAACTCTTTGAGAAAAATCTCAAAGACGAGCCGCTTCCCCATTCCCCCCCCGCTTCGGTCGCCGATTCCACACTTCAGTCAGTAACAGCCAGCTTGTGCCGCTTGTTGGCTTCTGAAATTGGAACTTCCACCATTCCCACACTTATTTAGGGGGTTCTTATGTTCAACTTTTCTTCCCCTTGTCTACAAACTTCCCCTTCTCTCTTCCACCGTTCACGTCGTGTCTGTCTGCCTGTTTGTCTGTATGTCTGCCAGTCTGTCTACTTGTGTGTGTGTCTGTCTCTGTTCAGTCAGAGCGCTGTCAGGAGGCATGGAATGAGCCGATCCGCTGCCTTTTCTAGCACTGGTTGTTCTCCCCCTGAATCGACTACTAGCCGATCACTATTGGCAGAAGACGCAGCCTGGGGCGGACTCATCCCACACCTCCTTGCACCGCCCCGAATGATTACGACGATATCAACGTCATTTGTTATCCACCGAAGTGTATCTTCGCTTCATGATTCTAGCTTTCTTACCTTCTGATTATCCTGAAGGCACAATCCATGATAGTGTGTCGCAAGTAGTGGAATTCAGTGATGAATTTGCCATTGCCAGACGACCTAGCAAAGACAACCAGTAAACTAAAGAAAAGACAAAATTAAAGAGTAGTAAAGAGTAAAAGTAAAGACAACTAGTATGAAACACCCCAAAAAAAGCCTTTTCGTGCAACAATGTCAGAGCATTGTTAGGTTGACTGACGAAACAGTAAGCGCTCGGACGACAGATCAGACGATAAAGGACGAGAGAGTACTTGGTGAGCGAGACCACCACTCGGTTTACGCAATGAACAGTGGGCGTTTCTCGCCCTAAAGCGGGGTCAGCTCTCATTATATTCCCCTGGCATCCTTGCACACGCTCGGGTCACGAAAGTGGCGCATTCACTGCAATTGCGGACCTACTCGCCTAAAACACGGGAGATGTTGCGCCTGCTCATTCTTGCGTCTTGGCAGTGGGATCAAGGTGAGCCAGTTGAACTGATTTCTTTTCACGGGGGTGGTCGTTACTGTCGCGACCTAAATGTGATGACATCTTAGAAGGAGTACTGTACCTGCTTTTTTCTGGATTTTTTTCATTGCTGTGCACTGATGATAAACTATATGAAATTGGATGTGCACCCTCGTTAGCGATCGTGAT